CCTGCTCCTCTAAATAGAAAATATATGATGGAGGAGACTCATCCACAACCTCCAACACAAATTTAATGCTACTTGGTCGCAATGTAATTTCCCATTGGGAACCTACTAGCACTAAATAAAGTTTGTCAAAACTTTTGTAACACATTAAAACATTTTAAAGATAACCCTATTGGAAAAAGGGACATACTAAAATAAATGTTTAGCCGAAACTATTTTTCCGGCATTGCGAGACCTCGTACAGTTATTGTATTAAAGTAGCTTTGTTGTGGTATCTAAACTTCAATTGAGTATTTATATTTCCAAGGAGTTTTTCCATTACTGCATTCCCTACATTTTGAATAGAAACATCTGTTCTTTCCACTCCTTATTAGATATTCAATTTACATTAACTGCAATTATGTTAACAGATTTAGTGCTGTAATGAATCCCAGAGCTCTAAAGTATTCAGTTTTTTTATGCAGAACTTCTGCTCAGTTTAATGTAAATCATCCAGTTGTAGATTTTAATGTGGAACCAAACTGGACCCAGTCATTACATTTATGTTCTCTCCCCCAACACAGAGAGCCAGGCAGGAAAATTAACCACTTTTCTGTGCATAGAGCTGCCTTTATTAGTTTTTTTTTTTTTTATCATTTAGGGGTAGGGTTGCCAACTTCCTGAGTGTGCTTTATATTAATTACCGTGGACTTTTTCCACCCAGGTAATTGTTTTTTTCCCCATTCCTCCCCATATTCCGGCATCCTTTTTTTTTTCGGAGGAGGAGCATCGCTATAGGAAGGTGGACCGCCCCCAAAAGCAGCTTCAGCGTTTAAAGTACTCCGTTCGACCTCCATACTGCTCTGTTGTCTCCCACTATCTTCTCCGTGAGCAACACTTGGCTCGATCAATGGGATGAGGGTATTCTAGATCATTACATTTATGTTGTCAGCTCATTGGTCACAATGCAGGACAGGGCCCGGGAACAAGTTTACCATAAGTTTTGTATCTAACGTGCCCTTGTTCTTCATTTTCCATTAGCTTTTTACTGACTGTTTTCTTACTCTCACAGTAACACGGGACAAAGTGCGTTCTTTTTCCACTAAATACAGGACAAGTCCTTTCTATTTCTAAATACAGAATGATTCTGTTTTTCTAGGGATGGTTCGCAAACCTATTTAGGAGTGCATTTTCCTTTGGTACTTAAGTAAAATGTAGAACCTGTATTATTTTACTCAAGTAAATGAGTTAAGTGAGTACTTTTACTTTCACCAGAGGCTTTTTTTAACACAGGTATCTGTACTTTTACTTAAGTAAACAATGTGAGTATTTTCAACACTTCTGAAAAATACCAACCAGTTCACAACCTGTTACCAGCAGTTACCAGCCAGTCACCAAGCAGTCAGCAACCAGTCACCAAGCAGGTCCCACCCAGTTACCAAGCAGTTCCCACCCATTCACCAAGCACAGGTCAGACTGGAGATGGTTCCCACTCTGCATGAGGCTGATTGAAGCTCATTCAGTTCAACCATCAGCCTGATACCTGTTTACAGGTTTCACTCGTGAGAGGATCGCCATCGTCGTTGTCATCTTGCTACTGCTCCTCCTCTGCATTACTTTCTTCATCCTGAGAAAGATGATCCGTCAAAGTTCCAGGACCTCAGGTGTGTCAGATGATCAGAGACAGCTGGTTCTTTACTTCAATTCGAACAGGGTGTGAAAGACTTATATGCTGTGCTTCAGATTCCACAGAGGAGACCCACATCTACATGGCGATGCATGGTAACCGTGGAGACAGGGCCAAACAGGAAGAAGACAAGAAGCAGGAGGAACCCCTTTATGGTAAACAGTGACGTCTAAGTTAACATGTTGACACAATATTGACAGTTTCTAGTATTTATACTCCAGCACCAATCATTGACTGAGGGAGAAAAAGGGACGGATAGATGTAGGAGAGAGACTGAGATTTGGAACATTGGTGTTGTTATGGACTGACTTTTGCTGAAGTTTTCATGGATTAAGATACAGATATGCCTTCATGTTGGGTCGCAGCTTTTTGATTCAACCCCCATGAGGATGGCGTCAGCTAATTTAAGTTTCAGGAAGGATCCTGAGCTGCTTTCAAAGCATGTGAAACAGGTTGAAACAAGTTGGAGCACTCCATGGTGTCTCTACTGTGCTTGGAACATTTTGGACATGGTTTTCAGTCTTTTTCCCTCATTGAAAGACTAGTTATTTAATGAAAAACTTTTAGTTACCTGTGGTGCTCAGAGTAGCATTCATTTTGGTGTCTCACTATGAGATATGCCCCTCCTACCTATTCCTCAGAAGTTTTTACTTCATTACGCCAATCCTGATTGGCTGGTTATCGCAACAGCTGCGTCCCCAACCTTTAAGTAGCTTGTGTCATGACACAGCATCCTTAAAAAAAAGCACCTCTTCTCGCTTCAACCGAGTAAGAACGGTTGTCTGGTGAGGGATCTTACTCATGCTACTCTGAGAATCGGGGTTACGCAAGTAACCTACAGTTCTCATTCATGGCATTCTTTTCAATGTCCCACTATGGGATAGAGAGACTTCAGTATAGCTAGGAAGCTCATCTCTAGCAGTCCCCGGCATCTAACTATGCTCACTCTGCTCCAGCAAGGACCCTGAGTTTAAAACTGCCAATAATGGAGGAACATGAGGGCTAAAAAGGGTCCCAGCATTCTCACACACTTCGCTCTTCTAGCTAGTCCAATTTCATTAGTCGTTTTCCCATAGGGGTGGTCATACAAACAAAACAAGCCGATAAGGTACCAAACAGGAAATACGCATATTGTAGAGCCGATGTCAATTTGAACAATCAGAGGCCTCATATTTTGCATTCACTGCGACAGACACGCAGATGACCTGGTTTCTGAGTACAAACCAGCCTTAACACATTTATCAGATGCCAAAGCCAAGAAGAGCACTTACTTGAAGGATAGATGTTTTATGTTAATATCCTCCAAGGGCTCAAATGGGAACTAGCGAAACTTTACAACACAACTGCCAGATCCCATGGTGGAGTCAGGAACCTCGTAACTGGAAGAAGTCTGCATGCCCCCTTCATACAAACAGCCCTCCAGAAGGTGTATGTTGACTGTTTTTTCCTTAAAGGCAACGTGGTAAGATGAAATAGCAGCCAGGTATACCTTAATTGTGGAGAGTTTTTGTTTT